TCTGTTTTTGTTTGCACATGTAAATCAGCTGATCGTTTGACACTTTTCATGAACTTACAGGAAAAAAAACTCCGGACTAAATCCTGTAACTTCTGACTAGGAACAGTTGCTCAGTTACTCTCTCAAATGTGTTCCCACTTACAGGTTTTATGTCAATAGGAACGACTTCCTGTAAGTTCTGACTAAATCCTGTAAACCGGACTGCTATTGGAACAGACTAAAAAACAGAAAGCGGTGAAAGCAAAAAACCTTGTATTAAAAAAAAATGGAAGTAATAACGAAATATTTCAATATGGGTGTTTCCAGCGGAAGGTCCACCACGACAAAAAAATAAAAGTTTTATATCTAATGTATTTACGGGCCGATTTCTCTGCTTTTTAAAATATATACTGGCTAAGTAAGTAGAATCATGTTTGCATAAAATGGTCTTCCTAGGTGGTGCCAAGGTGGAGATATTTCGAAAAACCGTATTTATGGTCCGATTTGGTTCGAATTTGGCGTATGTGGTTGAAACATAATAAATCATAGATTTCTAATAAATTGACCCTGAATTGGCGCTGAAGTCAAAATATAAAGTATATTCTACATAAAATACATGTTTTATTTGCGTTAAAAATTCATTTAAAAGCAATATTAACAAAAATATAACGATGGAAATTTATGTCACGTGACGCCACGTCACGTCACGTTTCACACTTGGGGTTGTAAAAGAGAATTGAAACAATTTGCATTAATTCATAAAACTCTAAATACAACTGGAATTGTTCCAAATCATATTAAACAAGTTTCATAAAAATAGCCATCCACAATTCGCAGAGTTTTGCGATTTTGTAAAAAAGAAAAAATCAACTTCCATTTTTTGTCACGTAACGACCCTCTCTTTAAATGTTTATATTTCAGGACCAAGCAGTTCGATTGATCTTATTTTTCGGTTAAATATAGAGCTAAGTATGTGCTATACAATGGCCCAAAAAGTTAAAGAAAACAAATGGTATTCCTTTTTTGTATCACATTGAAATCGTACGACTGTCACGTGCGCCACCATGGGAAAGCCCATATGTATAGATTTTAGTAATTAGTTAGTGATATTTCAGCCAAATCAGTGTATTACCAATGACATGTAAACAAACCGACTGACGTTTTTACAGGAAATAGTGCTTTTTCGGTTCCCGGGCACTTCGGCATCTGTTCTCATTTTACTCTCATTTGAGAGCGTAAAATTGTAGTTTGACAGTTCCACAGGTTTTAGTCCGAAGTTCAAAGGAGCATACTAATTGTTATTTTCTTAGATGTGGCGGCACTCTTCTAATGTCAGTGTGAAACCATGGTTGAATCAAATGCATTTTAAATTAGTTTTTATTCTATAATTCCGATATATTTTAATTCTCTGCCTTTTGCTGTATCAATTATTGCAAGAAGTGAAGTAACAACGAAGATAATGGTCAAAATAAAAAGCTCACGCATACACTCGGGGTAAACTTTCCATTATAGCCGTTCGTTAAAGGTGCGGTGGGCGAAGGGGGAGTGGGCGTGGCACCTCCCATCGACTTTTTTGCAGAGGGTATGAACCGCCATTGACAAAAACGCAACCCCCGACCACCTAGGTCCTTTATGGTTCCCTACGGACCCCTTAGAAAAATGGCCAAAAATCGCAATTTTTACTTGCGTCTACAGTATTTTTGCGTATAATTCCTTTCTGCGTAGGCGGCCTTCGGCCGCGCTTAGGGATTATAACTCTTACTACGTAGAATTCTCATTTCTGTGTGACCTAACTGGGGCTACCGCCCCAGTGATGTAACCTTGGGAAAGGATGAGGTGACTAGAATTCCCTTTCTGTGTGGTAAACCTGGGGCTGCCGCCCCAGTGATGTCCATTTTGGTTACTGGGTGTTTTATAAAAATGTCTTGTATATAAACATGTGTATATAAAAATGTATTGTGCAAATGAATATTTAACATTTTTCAAGCGAATAAACGCAAATGAAAATTGTGATTTTTGGTAATTTTTCTAAGGGGTCCCTAGGGAACCATAGGGGACCTAGGTGGTCGAGGGTTGCATTTTTGTCAATGGCGGTTCATTCCCTCTCCAAGAAGGTGGGTTAGAGGTGCCGCGCCCACCTACCTTTCGCCCACCGCCCCTTTAACGAACGGCCATAAAGGAAAGTCAACCCCACGCTTGCATTGAACTGTATAGCAGGCTTAAGGGCGTGATAATTTTAAAAACATACTAAATTTGTTAAAAACAAAAGTGTAAAAAATATGTTTGTATTTCATTGTGCGGAGTTTAATGCAACTATTTTGCCGAAGTGTGTACGTAAATATAGTGTTTATTGTGTGAAGTAGCGGGGGGTTAGTTCAATTTACAAATTTTAACAACAAATAATTTAAAAACTATAAAGGCTGATTCACATACAACTTTCTTCGCTTTGCTTGACAGTTCTTTACTTTGACATATAAGATCGATGTAGGCATATACATGAGCATGCTCACATAAAAAACTTTTGAAGCAAAGCAAAACAAAACGAAGCAAAATCTTGAGCAACTCTCAACTTTTGCCCGCTTTAGCAATCAGCTGTCTACATGTATCTTTTCTCGTGCGCTTGCATTTGCATTTAATGACAAAAAAGGGAGTAAATAGGAATTTTGATTGCTATTATTAATGCATATTATTATATTATCTATTTTACAGAGATAACATATGGAGGAAAAGGAGAACGCAGAAGCTGTCAAAGCGTTTATTGTAACATACCTTCTGCGTTTCACGCTTAGGGCCTGTGCCAATTGATAGAAAAGTTCTCTGGAAAGTAAATTTTTGACAGCTATGAGGTGAATAAAAATGTTTGATACGGCAGGGCTAGTGAAAAATTTGACAGAAAGCATTATCAAGAAGAACGAACAACGCACGTATACACATAAATTAAAGAAAACAAAAGCGAGTGGAAATAAAAGAACATGGTCCCGCCGGCAAAAAAAATAAAGAAAAGCTATATAACTTGTAAGATTTAATTTCAGATTTACATATGAAAAGGCGTTATGTATTTTTTTAATTAAAAATACTATTTTACAGGGAGCAGTTCAGAACGCAGAATCCTTCTGGGACTTTATTAAGCAAACGACTTCGTACTCCGACCATCCGTGGCGCTTTTTGGGAATGTGAGTTACAATTTTTCGAAACGAAGCAGAGGACAACCTAAGATACATTTTTGTAGTCTTGTTATCGCCGTTCATAATGCTGCTTAGTATTTTGGAATAAACGTCTTGTTGCATGTACATAATACCCTAAAACGACATATGTTTTTATTGGAAACAATTGTACACGGTTTTAAACATTTTTGTGAACACACTTACCAGACGGTTTTGACGTGTTTTTATTTCTAATATTACTGCTAAGAGGTCTAATAAATGCATGGATTTCAGTTCCAGAAGAATTGAAATCATCAAAGGCAAATATTTTCTATATAATTGCTGCATTTTATAAATAGCAAACTCGATAGTCTTCTTGTGCATCAAAGCAACTGTCAAAAATTTCCAGCAGTAAAAAGTTACGAATTGGCACAGCAGAGGGCGTGTGTGAATCGGTAACAAAGTTTGCGGCAAGTAAATTTTTGACAACTATGAGGTGAATAAAATTTCAGTAGCTCATGAGGCTAGTGAAATTTTTGACAAATGCATAGAAAATTTTGACAATCGCAAAGACTGTTGCTGTGAGTAATTTTTCGTAAAACAAAAGCTTAAATTGATGAAATGCAATCAGTGATGTTTTCTTAAAATATTAATTTCATTAATAATTTGTAATAGTTTATTCCGAATAAATCTGCGGTTATCAAAAATTTACTGCTGTCAAAAAAGATTTCATTTCACACAGCAGATTGGCAAAACTGTCTCACCATAGTAAAAACATTATTCAACAGCTTTCCCCATAGAACTTTGTTACCGATTCACACACGCCCAGAAATGTAAAATTTTCTCACCATAGTAAAAAGTTTTTCCACCATAGAACTTTTCTATCAATTGGCACAGGCCCTTAGTTGTCAAAGTTTGAACTGTCAAGCAAAGCGAGGAAACTTATGTAAATGACCCTTAAGCCTCCGGCGGCTAAAAGTATACATATTTGCAATCAGCAGAACTCGCCCTACCCACCCATAGCCACCTTATTTTTGTACGCGGGGGAAGCCAAACTAAAATTTTCCCGAATGAATTTACCTTGTAATGTTTTTATCATGCGTCTAGCGCTTTGCTGGCAGAGTTATAAATGTCACGCAAAGCCACAGTTTTACCTATGATAAAAACATTAGAAGGTAAAACCATTCTCTCAATTCGTCGGCCATGATTTTTTTCTGACGTTTGCAAGCATTTTAAAATCATATAAAATTGAAAATAAAAAAAAGAAATTCTTCACAATTGTTGTTGTTTGAGATTAAAAATGAGAATGTGTGTGTGAGCTTGAGTACGAATTTTAAAATTATAATAGTTGTTTTTTTTTACAAATTATCCAGTAACTTGCCAGCAACTCTCCAGTAACTTTATTTCTAAGAATTCGCTCTCAAAGAAAAAAATTGCAATAAAGTACGCGAACGCTTTTCCAGTAACAATTTGCAAGTTTCATGAACAGCTGATAAATTGGTTGTTTATTCGCAGCAAATTCCTAATAAAACAATATATTTTGTATTTAAATAGGTTTATTTTGTGAGATTCAACAATAAAAACCCACAAACAATTTCCTTATTAGTTTAAATTTCATCCAGCAACATGCGATCAGCTGTTTTTCGTACTGGCAAATTCTTACAAGTAAAAATTTATCCAGTAAAATCCAGTAAAAACTTGCAACTTCAACTGTCATTTTTCGCTCTCTCAATTTCCCCTACTTTACAAGTTTTTGCGTACGAAAACGCCAAAACATGAAAATTCGTAAAAACTTTTACTGGATTTTACTGGAAATGAGTAAAAAAACGCAACTAATGTTGGCAAACGTCAGACTGCCTCTCAATGATTTTACCTTGTAATGTTTTTATCATGGTTTTACCTGACTTCAGTTTAAGCGTACACTGTGGATTTGCTGTTTTTACGCACGTTAACGCATGTCAACGGATCCCGCTTTCCTATGGAGTTCCAGCTTAACTGATGCGCTATAGTTGCGAAATGTACCTTATGTGAAGTTCCTTGGACACTATTGGCAAAATGAAAAGTTTCCCAGATATATGTATGTATATACATACGTACAATCTTTGATTCCAACTGATTTATTTTACCAACTTATTTCATAGCATTCATTAATTAGAAGTTTCCTTTTTACAGAACTTTTATTGGCATTCTATCTCTACCAATATACATAAGTATTTGTTGCCGCATGGAACTGCTACCTTTAAAATAAAAGCTATATGAAATGCATATAAAACTTTACAGCTCCAAATTAAACCGTACTTCTTTACAACGCTTCAAGTAAGAATTTAACAAACATATATATGTCTGTAGCAGTATAAGAATAGGTAACAAAAATCAGAAGTAAACATTTGAGTTGCAGGTAGCAGCATGTAATCATTCGCTCTCAACTATCGACCATCTATAATTGCACATCTTCGCAGGCAATTATTTATTGCCGTGCAACTGTCATTTTGTCCAACTGCTGTAATACGCTTTTTTGCTTACGCGTAAAAACACATTTAGCGCATTTAGCTCTATACATATATAGCTATATGTATATTTATCCATACAAAATTCGTCACCTAAGTGCAACTCCATTTTTGCATTAAGAATCTAAACGCTAAAAGCAACTCGGTGATCTTCCAAAATTTCCACGATTTGTTATGGTTCGCATACTTTGGGAGCAGTAGTGAGTGCAGGCGGCATGACAAAAAGGGAGCACTGTGGCTAGTCATGTCGGCTGAGCGGGGTTCTTGCCACACTACTGTTCCCTGCGCCATAGCAGAGAAAAGTCATGCCTGTCAAACATCTTCCCTTCCGGCATGGCCGGAAGTATCGGACGGACGCAAATTCAAATATTCAAAAAAAAAACAGTTACACAAAAAAAAGATGAAAAAGAAACGTTACATCTAAAATATTTAAAATAAACTGAAAATCAAAACAAAGCAGATCCCAAACTAAAACTGAAATAAGAAATGAACCAGAACAAAAAAAAGCTAAGGCCGAATATGGTTGGGACCACTGGTGCAAGTGGGGCCCCTGGTGCTGACCCACCCTCATTCATGGTCACCGGCGCAACCTATTCCCGAAGACCCCATTATAAAAGCCCCTGATGTGCCTTCCTAAATAAAAAGGTTAGTCAGCATTCCCATATTATATTATAATTTTATTAACAATTCATTTTCTTACATCTATTTCCTAAAACTAATCATCCTAACGTCTAAAAGTTCTTAACATTAAAAAAAAAGTAGGTATGCTTAATAACTAAGTATATCCTTAAGTCTAGGGTAAGTATGTTAGAAATTAACACCCCTATTCTTCAATTTTTTCGTATTCGGATTTTGCTACAAATCGTAGAAATAGTATGCTGCCATCCGAATCGTATTTTCAAATTTTCGAAATTCGTAACAATGGTATGCCTAAAAACGAACGAGTAAGCTTTTTTGCGTAATTTTGTACGAAAACAATTCTGTGTCGGAGTCGAATTAAAAGATGTAAATGGATGTGTGTTTGCAAGAAATATTGGTGGTGTTCATTTAAACAGATATATTTGCCTTTCGCATATACGTATATTTGTATCCACTGCGCTAATATCTGTTGCCCCTTATCGAGAAACTTGGGTCCGGTTTAGTTAATGTACAACGATTTTCGGTTGTTGTGTCCAAACGCATCACCCGAATCCAAAAACTTTAACATACACGTGTAATCAAAGGATTCACATTTTATTTAAGATAAATGTTTAAAATTTCCTACCACTAGCTTATTAATAAACTCGGTTTGCACTATGACCTTTTTTGCAAATTTCGACGTGGGTTCTGCGCAAAAATACTGTGGACGTCGTAGCCGGAGTGATATGCACAAGAAATGTTGTATACCTTTGACATGCGGAAGCCCCTCTTCTCCGCAACGCAGAAAGGAGAATTCTACTTAGTAAGGTGTATAATTCCTAAGCCGAAGGCAGAAGCAAGAGCAACGGGTGGTGGACCTAACAAAGTGCATGTTTTCAATGGCTTGGAAAAAGCTGTTATTGCATTAACTGGATTGAGAACCAGAGCTTCAGGCATAGGAGGAGTTCTGGCTTGTGGTTCAACAATTCAAGCAGAAGCTGACATAGATGCGCCCAGGGTTACTATGCCCGACAGCTCCGCATACCTTTGTGAATCCATTGCCATAGCGCCCGCTTACTCTGCTGCTATAATTGCAAATACATCAGAATCCATAATTCTCCTCGAAATATGTTAAATTAAACAATTTTACAATAAACAAGCACACGATGAGTGTTTTTTTAATACCTTTCCACTTTGTTTACCTTCATTCAGCTATCTTCGAGAAACAACTGATAGCTGGAAATGCTGCACATGTTTCCGCAAGGGTTGCAGCATGGGGATTTTTCGTTTTTCGTAGCGTAGCAGTTTGTAATAGGAGATAGCAGAATGCAGGCGGTTATCGTGCATCGTACTTCATAATGGGTGGGTTAATAAATAACAAAAAATAAATAAAAAATCTCAAATGGTTGCAGTGAGACCCCGAGCAGGGTGCCCCAACGGAAATTAAGCACGGCGAAGGGCGCAGCGTACCTTTCTTTTTTTGGGCACTACCTAACGTTGTGTTAGGCGAGACGACGGTGAATCCTATCAGCCAGCAGAAAACCAGAGCCCAGGAGAATACCAGACTATAGGTAAGTAAAAAGTCGTTCTTCCCTCCCCTTTTCCCCTCCGTTCCACACCACAGAACCCTGGCAAAAATGGCTCCCTAACTCATTCTAATTACCTTTGTTTTGCGGCTGTTCTAATTTGCACCAGCAATTGGCCTGCTGCAACGACCCGTCAACGGCAGGGCCACAGCAGCAACAACAACAGCAGGGCCCCCCCACCAGTGGCCTGCTGCAACGACAACAACGGCAGAAACCGTAGCAGCCGCACCAGCAGCAACAACAACAACAGTAGGGCCCATACCACTAGCCTGCTGCAACACTAGGGTGAGTCCTTCGGGCCTTCACTAACTTTTTATTCATTGNTGCAACGACAACAACGGCAGAAACCGTAGCAGCCGCACCAGCAGCAACAATAACAACAGTAGGGCCCATACCACTAGCCTGCTGCAACACTAGGGTGAGTCCTTCGGGCCTTCACTAACTTTTTATTCATTACAAAAAATAAAAAATAAAACTAAAAATTATTTAAAACCAAAAAGAAAAGGTTAAAACCCCGAGAACTCAAATTAATAGTTAGGAGAAATCAGAAGTAAAACCTATATTTAAACAGAAATAATCATTGAAGAAAAAAGAAGAAAAAGAGGGATTGTAAGAATATTCGTGATAGGAAAGAAGTAAAAGACCAAAGTAGGAAAATATGTGTGAACATAAGAAACAACATTAAAAAAGGAAGAGAAAAGAAAAAATAAGATAAAAATAAATTTACCTATACACCCCCATTTATATATAGATACACATGTATGTATAGGTATATACGCATATACGTACGTATGTAATATATGCAAATATACAATAAATAAGGAGTTAGGCTTACGAACGAAATCACCCTGAATAAACCAAAAAACCAAACATGTGTATAAATTTTGAATAAGTAACCATAGTAAACTAAATTAGAATCAAATTAGATTAACTAAAATGTAACTAAATTAAACAAATCCAAAACCAAATAGAATCCAATTAAATACAATTAACCGAGGTTAAAAATAAACGAAATCAATTAAATTAAATAAAAAAATAAAAAAAGGAAAAAACTAACCTGGTTAATTAAAATTAAATAATATTAACTAAAGTAAACGAATAAGGTAACCTTCCATCTGAAAAATTTACAGTAACCTATTTTGAAATAAATAAACGACAGTTTTAATGCATTAAAATGAAAGTTATACAACTAAAATAACCCAATATAAAATTACCTAAAATAAAAATTTTATCAAAGTTTCGACGACAGAAATTTTAAATAAATTAACATTTAGAAATAACAAAAGAATGACCACTTATAACAAAGAAATTTGAACCCTAATAATAAAAGAACCTAAAACAAAAAAATAATTATTATATAACTATAGGGAGTTGACTTAGGCTTACTGACCTGCTTTACTTGAAATAACTTTTGTTGTTAATATACTTACCGGACTTACCTTACCTTAGAGTTAGACATATCTTTACTTACCTCTACCATTAACTTTACTTGAACATAAATCTTATCGTCTTAAAAGCGTATGATACGTACTTACCTTAATATTACCTTACAACTTGCTTTACTTACCTGAATTAAATTTACTTCACTACTTAGAGCCAATTTACACGTCGACTTTTCACCCTCCGTTTTTGGCACGTTCTCTTTTTTTTAAAGTCTTCGAAAATCCTCGTGCATTTACACCATTTCTTAGTATTTTTGATATTTAAGCGTAAAACATTCTTTGGTCAACTCTTTCGTCCTGGGTGGAAAGTCATGCGTGTCGAGCTTGTAGGGCAAGAAGTGTAGAGAAGTCAGCGGGGTAGGCAAGCACGCACGGTGAGTGAAATCGAGGGATTTTTTGACGTTTCGCTTTTATCGAGTTCACTTTTTCGTATTTTTGCTTTGAGTTCGCGATTCGATCTGCTTTAAAAATCGCAGCCGTGTTTGTAGTTGCAGCAGGCACTGGTGGGGGCCCTGCTGTTGTTATTGTTGCTGCTGGTGCGGCGCTACGGTCGCAGCCGTTGTTGTCGTTGCAGCAGGCCACTGTTGGNCAGCCGTGTTTGTAGTTGCAGCAGGCACTGGTGGGGGCCCTGCTGTTGTTGTTGTTGCTGCTGGTGCGGCGCTACGGTCGCAGCCGTTGTTGTCGTTGCAGCAGGCCACTGGTGGGGGGGCCCTGCTGTTGTTGTTGCTGCTGTGGCCCTGCCGTTGACGGGTCGTTGCAGCAGGCCAATTGCTGGTGCAAATTAGAACAGCCGCAAAACAAAGGTAATTAGAATGAGTTAGGGAGCCATTTTTGCCATGATTCTGTGTGTGGAGCGGAGGGGAAAGGGGGAGGGAAGAACGACTTTTTACTTACCTATAGTCTGGTATTCTCCTGGGCTCTGGTTTTCTGCTGGCTGATAGGATTCACCGTCGTCTCGCCTAACACAACGTTAGGGAGTGCCCAAAAAAAGAAAGGTACGCTGCGCCCTTCGCCGTGCTTAATTTTCGTTGGGGCACCCTGCTCGGGGTCGCACTGCAACCATTTGAATTTTTTTATTTTTTTTTGTTATTTATTAACCCACCCATTATGTAGTACGATGCACGATAACCGCCTGCATTCTACTATCCCCTATTACAAACTGATGGGACTTACTTTAGTGTACATCGACATGTGTGTGTTTTGGCAGAATTCTAACGAATTTTCTCCTGAAACTTTACGAGGATGCTAAGGAACAGATATGTTCACATAAATTC